TCTGTCAATCCAATGCATTTGAGATCATTTGAACCTTGTGATTAGGTCAAGATGATGCCATTGATTCCTTGAAACCATGCTTGAACCCAATTTGCCATTGGCTAGGTGAAAAATCAGAAATTACCCGTCTACAATCAAAACCCTAAAAATGACCATTTTGCCCTTTTGATGATCTGATCAAATTTCTTGAGGAGTTATGGTCCCAACTTGATAAAATGGTTCATATGAGTTTATAATGTTGATGTGATTCAAAAATTATGAGGTTTGACTGTAAATTGGCCACAGTTGACTTTTTCTCGAATACAATTGATTTTTAGGTCAACTGTCCAATTGACTGGGCAAAAAATTGATTCAAGGCTTGAAACTTGGTATGAACAATCTTAGAGGTCCAACATGAAGCATGAAAGTCACATGAGGCATTGGAAGTCCAAAAATCCTTGAGCAAACTCAAACCCTAATTTCAGGTCATCAGTGCAATGAGATGTCTTAAGCTGAGCAAACCCTAACCTGTCTGGAGTCCAAAGAGTCTTGTGAGGGGAAATCTTGATAAAATGAGAGGGGAAATTTTGGGTTACAACAGAGACCATTACATCCGGTGTATACATCAAATGAAAACATGTATAATACAAAATAAGAGCTAATCTTGGACAAACAAAAGATGCGTGTGTGGTGGGACCCTGAGTTTTTTAATTAACCAATCATATGGTGACACGCCCAGGCCATCGGGGTTAAATTATTTAGACAACACCGGAGTCAACCCTCCGGTTGTCTTCTCTGATGGGGAAAAATTGGAACCCTACAAAAATGCATCAATTAATGGAAAAAAAACCACTCAGATCACATAAATGGACCCTTGCGAATCTGATGGTATAATTAGTTTGGCCTGAATCATTCTGTGTCATGAGATCTGAAGCTCAATAGTTCTTGAGCCCTAACATTGGAAGAACTGGATACGTGCTTCAAAACTTGCATCTAATACGTCAGAAACATCCTAAAGGCATGTGTTAGTGATTATAGGCAGTTAAACACAATTTATAGCGAATAGATTTAAGAATTCAAAAATTAAAATATTACCCAACCGGTGTTTTTGAGTTAAGGTGTTCTGGGCATAATTGGACGCTCTTATGGATTTGAGGAGACTCTTGGGAACCTCAGGAGTGATGTCTGATCACTGGTTTGGGTTGAAAAAGGTTGGAACTTAGGATTTGATGCTTGGCTTTTTTTGAAAATTTTGTGAACAAAGTTTAGGCTTAGAGGCAAAAATTGTTTGTGTCCTTTTGACCTGATTTCGTTGTGCATATATAGAGAATGGAAAGAAGAAAACAAATATGGCAAGGAGACAACTCATTCATGGCCATGAGACAAGAAATCCAACAACTTAAAATACTTCCCAAAATGAGATTTTCCTTGCCATTTTGAGCCTTACACGAATTTGGCATGTTATGCTGAGTTATTTTGGGCTTTAAGAGACCACTCATGAGCCTGGCCCAATTATCTTGTACCTCTTTTAATTTATTTTACATTTATTTGAATAAAAATAAAATAAATATAAATAAAATAATAAGAAAATATAAGACAAGGTATGATTGATCTTATGAGTCTTTCATAAGGTCATGGACATGTTTGAAACCCAAAAAGTTAGGTCAAAAGTCCAAAATTTCAAGTTTGCATATTTTGCATTTCATATATTTCCTCAAAATTTTCCAAATTGTGAAACTCATAACTTGCTCAATTTTCATCTTTTGAAGGTGATATTTGACTTTTTGAAAATCTCAAGATGTCCTCTACAATTTATCTTTTGACCATTTTTGCATTTGGAGATTTATCTTGATGTAAGTTACCTTGACAAAAAGTGTCTTTTTGTTGACTTTTGAAAATGATCTGTAATATATTAGCTCATATCTTTCAAATGAAGCATTTTTTAGACTTGAGCATAAACACAAAGTTGTGGAGAATTGAATTTCCTTCAAAATGGCCTTTGGTTGGGGGAAAGTTGATGAAACATGTGAAAGTAATGCTTGGTCAAAGTTCAGTTGACTTCTTCTAAGGAAACCCTAATTTGGTAATTTTTGGACTTTTGATGATTTAAGGGCAACATTTGCGATAAAACGCAAAACCAAAATTCTTGAGTATTTCATGTATTTATAGATGAATGAAATGGAAAAAGAACAAGACAAGAATCTTGTACAATCATGTCACAATTCATTGCAAAAAAACTCATTGAAATCTTTCTAAAATTGTTTTAAAAACATTCCAAACTTGAAGATTCTTGTTCCCAATATGTTTTCACGGTTTTGGCATGTTTGTCATGTGTTCTTGGACCTCCATGTGATTGAAATCAAAATCCCATGCGCATTGGCCCAATGATTTTATATTTTATTTTATTTACTTGCATTTAAATGAATAAAAATTCAAATAAAAGAAATAAAAATCATAAAAAATATATGAATGGATTTAGAGATCTTCTAACACATTGTGAACATGTTTGAACATCAAAATTTAGGCCCATTAGTCTAGAATTTCAAGTTTGCTCACTTTGCATTTCATGCATTTTACCAAAATTTCCCAATTTGCAATGGTCATAACTCTCTCAATTTTGATCTTTTGAAAATTATCTTGGACTTTTTGAAAATCTCAAGATGCCTTCTTCAATTTCTCTTTTGATAATTTTTTCATTTGGAGACTTTATCTTGATGTAAGTTAACTTGACAAAAAGTGTCTTTTGTTGACTTTTGAAATGACCTATAATGTATGGGCTCATATCTCTCAAATGAAGCACTTTTTGTATTTGAGTATACAGATTCAAAGTTGTACGTAATTGAATTTCCTTAAAAATGGGATTTGGTTGGGGAAAAATGGATGAAGCATGTGAAAGTTATGCTTGGTCAAAGTTTAGTTGACTTCTCCTAAGAAAATCCTAATTTGGTAACTTTTGACTTTTGATGATTTGAGGGTTTTCCTTAAGGAATCATGATCATCCCTTGATAAAATTATGAAAATCACTTCAAAATGTTGATGTTAACAAAAAATATTGAAGTTTTACTGTATGTTGACCATAGTTGACTTTTTATCCAATACAGTTGATTTTCAATCATCTGAGCCATTGACTGAGCAAACTTGTGATGCAAGGGTTGAAACTTGACATGACCATTGTTGAATACCTATGGAGAACCATGGAAACCACTTGAGACCTTTTCAACCCAAACTTCCTTGAAAAACACAAAACTCTAGTTATGGACCCATTACTTAGGAGGAGAATTTGTCTGATCAATTCTTGAGCATCCTTGAGCATTTAAGAACCTTAGAAGAATGTTTTTGAAGAAAATGGGAGGGAAAACTTTGGGGTACAACACTTAACATGTGCCCTTAATCTCCACCCTTTTGATTAAGATCACACGATCAAATCTTGCGCACCCACGATAAAGCCTATGCACCTCTCCACACGCTACCCAGATACACCTCAAACATTTTTGTATTGGGCCTAAGGCCCTTTCTAATCGCATCCCAGCCCATTTATTTTACTATTATTAACTGCAGTTTATATCCCCCTGCATTTTTGGACTAAAACATCTGTTGGGCCTTGAAGCCCTTAATGTTCACACCCATGGCTTTTACTTGGCCCTTAAAGCCCATACACCCCTCCTGCATAATGGGGCAAGTCCAAATTCTGGACTTGGGCCCTCATTATTTACACCCCATATTTCTACTATCCAGTTATAAAAGGTACCCCTAAGCATTTGGGCTTAAAACCTCTTTGGGTCCAAATATAGTTTCTAATACATCCCAGATTTAACTTTTGCACCCCTCCTTTAATTAATTCATTAATTAATTTAATTCCTTAATTAAATTATTCTATTTTCTTCATTTAATTAGCATATATCATATTTTTAGCATTTGCATTAAACAATTTTTGCATAATTATTAAATAATTATTAAATTTTTTATTAAAAACATTTAACCTTTTTTAAGTAGAAAATAGTTATTTATTAATTAAAATATTTTCTAAAAACACTAGCCCTGATTTTTATAATTGCATTAAACATTTTTTCTCTCATTCAAATTTATTTTCTCATATTGCATAACACCTCTAAAATAGCTAACCAACAAAATAATAACCCTTTTTCTACTAACCTAATTAAATCAAGATATCTTCAAAGAGGGTTGTGGAGATCTTTTATATTAACTACAAATTACGTCTACGATTCTGCTATTTTCAACCCAGACTTGGTTCAAGGATTAATTCAAAATATTTCCACAGTTCATAAAAACAACTAATCAAACACTACGAACTAAGAATTGGGACTCTGATTCCTCATAAGAGGATACGTAGGCATGCGGCTTAATAACCAAGATGAGTTCCCCTAATTAAAAAATTAAAACCCTACCTACCCTTTAACCTAAACCCTAGGATTTCTTTAAGAACAAGGTAGATGAAGGGTGTCAAACACCTTCCCTTCATCTAAAGTGAATCAAGAACTTAGAATCTATGTATCAATTTAGGGTTATTCCATTATTCACCCATTTTTAGGATAAAAAGTAGTGATGGCGACTCGTTATTTTTTTCAGTTACGACAAAGAGAAAGCCTCAAAGTTATTTCAATTCATAAATAAGTGAATACAAACACAAAACTCTAAATTGTAAAAACTTGAGTCATCAAGGTAAAAAAATTCTATTAAATATTATTATATCTGAGGCACAATTTCTTAGGAAGAAATGCATGAAATAATATAATACAAAGCAAAATAAAATTAAGCTGAAGCATTTGAAGCTGAGGTACTAGGACGATCTATTGGAGCCACCCTTGGAGCAGGCTTAAATGGATCCAACGCATCGACAAAAATTACATCATCAGAGCAGAGCTTCCTCGCATGTTCCATGACTCGCTCACAGCGCGAAGCATGTCCCACATAGTCCACTCAAGAGAATCATGAAGTGACCACTTTAAATTAGCCACCTCATATTGAAGGTTATTTAAGGCCTTTGCATTGGACTCGGTTTCCTAAAGAAAGGCCATGTGATGCTCCTCCATATGACGAGTCTTCTCTTTAACAGAATCATAAAAAGTCTTACACCGCTTCTCTGCATCCTCGAGGGAACCCTCAAAACCAGTCACGTGAGCATTCAGATCAGAAGGAAAACCATGTATTTCCATGACCTCTTTCAAAGAGTTGACACCTATCACTTCCTTGTGCCGCGCAATAAGCTCTATTTAGAGATTAGTTCTCCTCAGCTTCAAAACTCAACCTCCATTTCCAAATATCTCTTTCTTGAGAGGAATTACCAGGGGCCAGACATCACCCCGTCCAGCAGAAATGATGGAGAAAATATTGTTAACTTTGAACATACTATGAGCAAGCTCATAAGCCATTTCCATTTTATCCTTATCAGGAAGATTCAGAATGAATGACAGATCTGACATCTAGATAATAGCAGCAGCCTTCTCTGGAGTGTATGGTATTTAGGAAGAGAAAATACTATGCATATTTATAAAGGGAGTCACCTTCCTGGAAACATCATTCCCAGCTACCTAATTCTGTTTTGGGGAACACTTTGTCCGAAAAGACTGTTGCTTCTCCTCTTGGGCCCTCTTCGTTAAAACCAGAGGTGAGGTTGGTCATCCACTATCAAAATGGTCATCCACAAGAAGATGCACCTCGCGTAAAAAAGTAGAAACTTCTACAATCAGGGTAGGAGAAGGTATAGTGGTCGTCAGAGGTAAAAGTCCTAGTATTCACCACAACTTGAATACCTTGAGCATCTGTAAGGCTGTAGGACATGTTCAACTTGCTTACCTTGTTTGTCCTATCTGAAAAATGAATACCCGCGTGTAAAAAAGGGCTACACTCTCACCATAGGTCTCCTTTCTCTCCTCAAGATTAACTGCACTCAATATAACATGAGTATGAATTCATATTTTCCTCACATCGGGAGAAGGCACCTCACCAGGGCCGAAACCATCCTCATAGCTAAGCCCTTGAAATCATGATTGCATTTCCTTCTTCATCGTCACCTCATCCAAAGAAAGGAGGGTCGACAAGAAGGTAATAGAAAATAGAGTGAGTCGCAAGGGCGATGGGGCTTCACCAATATGAAATGTCTCATGAAATCACCACAACCTAGAGGGAAGGGGTCGAACCAAAGGTCGACCTGATGGAAGTAGATAAATTCCTGATTACAAAATTTATCTAGGGAAATATGCCTTGAATGGAAAAGGCAAAAAATAAGCTAACAAAAGGCTTCTAGGATTTGTACTCAGCACACATTTCAAAGGCCTTTATATATGCCCATAACCTCAAATGAAGTTGGGAAGAAGCAACTTATAAATGTTTGAGGATGATTACCTCGAATTCAAAAAAAGTCAGTTGTAATCCTATTCTTGTAAACAAGTACTCATAGAACAGGATCATGCAGTCACTAAAAGAACTTCATATTCTCTTCTCCTCTAATACCAAAAATATTGACCATTATGAAGGATCACTAACCATGATGCCAACATAGCTTAGGGTAACCTTAGTGCCTAGAGACGAGGAAGTTCCTTCTTTTTATGCGTCCACCCAATCATACATCGATGCATTCGGCCAATTTTGAAGATTTAAGTGTTTTAGCACCTCAGCATCTCTAGGCTCACTACCTTCATTCCGTAGACGAACCTAGATGAAATCTTTAGCATGTTTCCTCTTTTGCAAATTGGATTGTACCTTCTCTTCAAACAAGACAAGAGGTGGAATATGGACTTCGATGCGAGCTGTTGTTCTACCAACATTTGATATATAGGCATCTAACGACCCAAAAGAAGAAGTTTCTTCCTCCAAGGAAATCTCAAATACCTTTTCTGACCCCGAATTATCAAATATGGATATAATCGTTGGACATACATGATCACTACTAAGGGACGGGTGAGGAGAATCAAGGGATGGCCTAGATGAAGTTTCCACTTTAGAATTACTCACTAAATCGGCAGTTTTATCGCTCATCCTAACTAAGAAAATAGAAAATGTTAAAGGAAAAGGTCGAGTTAGAATGGTACATGGGATATTGATGAAGCGAGAGGATTGAAAAAAGAAAAAAAGATTTAAGGGAAGCATTGAATCGCTTCTAGTGATACTCTCGAGAAAGAAGGAACAAAGACGTTTTTCAGAAAAGTAACTATGAGTTCGAATACTAAAGGTTGTAAAAAACTTCCAAATACTCTAATCACTCTATTTATTAGCAATAACCTCTGAAGATCAAGACCAACTATGTGAATAAACCACAAAATCAACGCTTACATTTCTACTCACTCTATTTAAAGAAAATATTTGTGTTTAGGATTCATCATCAAATCCAAGTTTTAAGTAGAAACATAGAAGTTTGGTTCCTACATGCAGTGCCATATGACTCGTGAGTATATTTTCTTTAAAGTGTTATTGGCGGTGACCATGATGCTGATGAACTCTAGCACGACAAGCCTTTAGAAATACCCTTGACAGTGGGGTGTACATTAAAACATTTTAATGTCTAAGTCAATGACTGCTACAACTGAGAGATTTAAGGTTTAGAATATCGTGTACTATAGTTTGCTCAGTTCTTTAGGCTTTATAGTCAAATTTTAGGATTTACGGGCTCTAGAATCTTTTTTATGGACACCTGTCTCATAGGACAAATGTCAGATGATCCAATTGTTATTGTTATCTGATTGTTTACCAAGTTCAATCAACTATGATTATGTGGGCCTATATGATATTCTCATCTCTGAATTCATATTTCCTCTTAGAATTTGAGTGACCTAGTTTCTTACACATTGGGCCATGGCTCTATTTGAAACTAAAATTAAAGTCTTTTCTATTCAAGTTATTTAAATTCAATCATCTTTTCCATTCAAATTTAATTTAGAAAGAAGATTAATCTTACATTTTTTTCCAATTAATTTCAACTTGAAATCCAATACAAAAATTTTCAAAACAAATTTATAAAAACACGAGTCTACCTATTAATTTGTTCATAATCCCATCGTAGTACATTAATCAAACATATAGTGTTTTTATTTTAGGTTTAATGGATTTAATTCTTGATATTTCTAGAATTCCATCGTTTTCTTAAATCTAATCTTTGAGTTAAGATTCTCTCAACTTCTCAAAAGAAATAGAGAGCATAATTACTAAAATATTGATGGTATTACTGCATATGTTTTTGAAATGTGTGACATATATTTATATGATTTGATTTATATATAATCAAATTATTAGTAATGATATTCTCCATTTCTTTTGAGAAAAGGAGAGGATCCTTATTCCTAATCTTTACGGTAAATGTTTATGCCTCCTAGGATTTGGTGATGTTGGTTTTTCACATTTCTTTATCATTAATGATGGATGATTAAAGTTCTGCAAAATTTATATGACTCGTGACTTTCTTGACTTGAACTCTTAAATTAACTCTCTAAAGTTGTTGGAAAATGTATCGTCCCTACTTAAATATCTTACCTGTGGTTTTTAATGTGGAAAATTATAACTTGTAATATAATTCATTATCAAGAAGCTAGACTTTAACCAAATACTTAAAGTTTGAATGGTAAACAAACTCCTTCTAAAGAACGGAGTAAAACAAAGACCACGCTTTCAAATATATCATGTAAAAATTTATATGATTCAATATATGAGTAGCTTTAATTTATACTATTGGTACATAATCTCAAAACACTAATTAAATTTAATTATTGGTGGCCTCTTTATTTAAACAATAAAAAATTCAAGGTTAGTTATATGTGTTGGAAATCTACTAAAATCTGTGATGAATTTCTACTAATCTATATGAACAATATTGATATCACCACATAATAACAATGAATTATGAATGAAAGAAGACAATGATTATTCTGCAGAGTTTCTCTCTGCCCACAAATTGTGGAAAAACTTTCTTATTCACTTATAACTGTAAATCATGTGAATATAACTTGATTGATTACAAAAATAGAGGTTACTCTCTCTATTTATAATTTTAGGTTATCTTGCTCCCTAAGACAAAACCCAAAACTATAAAAGCCCAAAATACCTATTTTGGAACTAAATCAAATCTAATCAAATTTGGGTGTAACTAAATCAAATCTAACTAAATCAAATATAATTTGACACACACATTATTCGACACTATGGAATACAATTTAACACACCATCTAATTCATTGTGTCTAACCTATCTATATTCATCATAGCTCTTAATCTTCGAAATACTTCGACCTGCACACCCTTTATCATGATATCTGCAATATGATTCTCAATTATGCAGTGTTCCAAATTCATCTTATCTTCTGCTACCTTCTCGCGAAGATAGTGGAACCTCATTTTGTTGTGCTTGCTTCGACCATGTGCCATCGGGTTCTTCGCTAGGTTAATAGTTGATGTAACGACTATTTAAATATTTAGTCATTTGATTATTGAAATTGTGGAGCTATGTTGGTTTGACTAAGGAGGTGTGAGAACTGAGTATAATTCGATAATTGGAGTAGGCTTTGAATAATATTATAATAATGATAGTTTTGGTGAAGGGTGAAATATACCATTATTATTAATAAAAAATACTATTGTGGTTAAATGATGTATTTTCCACTAATCTTATTATTATTATTATTATTATTATTATTATAACTATTATTATTATTATTGGGAAATAATAATAAAGAATAATTATAGAGAGTGGTAGATGTATTTGGGAGAAAAGTGCTTTCGCGTGAAAAGAAGATAAAAAAAAGAGAAACTATGGCAAAGTGTAACACCTCAATTCTACTCCAAGCAATTATGCAAAATAAATCAGAGTTATAAAATTTCAATCATACAAATGAATCGGGACGTCACAATTTCTTCTAACAAAATTCATTGCATTCATCGTGGATATATTACACTTTTTCAAACATCGGATGAACCATCAGCAAAACATCTATAATTAAATAAATCATCATCTATGCAGCAGAATTCTTAATAACATCTCTAACAAAACAACAACTTCGAAACATCTCATATTTAATAATAATCAATTTAAAATTCAACAACTGAAAATCAACAATCAAAAATCAACAAACGTTCATCCCCCCGAGTGTTACATATCAGAGCAATGACATCGATTCGAACTACTGAAGGTATACAGTCTTCACTCTCAATTACCTGCACGTTACCAACATAAGGGCAACACTCAAACAGAAGGGTGGGATATCTAACAATATAATAAAGCGCATGATAATTAATATATTAAATTAGATCAACAATATCACCACTTCTCATCTCATAATCCACGACAATCTCAACAATAATATACATTCATCAACATCAAAATACACTTCTTTATGAAATCATATAATGCGACTCAATACTACGCAAATGCATGTGGTACCATTGGAGCAGAACTCCCATCTCAAAAAAATTGTCAATTAATAGATGCATCAACAAGG